TATATCTATAATATAATAATATATTACTTTTTATATATATATATTCTATAATAGAATGTAATTTATTTAAGAAAATACTCTTTTTTATTTCTGAATAGATTTTTCACATTTTATTATATGATATATCTATTTTACCCCTCAATTTACATATTTTTAAGTAAAATACAAGTGAACTTTTCTTATTAATCTCTGTATAAGAGTAAAGTTTCTTAAAATATTAATTGATACATATTTTAATACTTTAAAAAAAGTAAAAATATAATTATTTTCTATACTAATCTTAATTATAACTAGTTATATTCTATTATTTTCTTATTATTATCAATAATATCTTTTTTAATTTGAAAACTATTTTTAAATTTTGTTTTTATTTTCTTATAATAATTTTATTTTTGAATTTCTTTAAATAATTTAGAGCTTTCTGATATTTACTTTCATATTTATTCAAGAAGATTAAGTATATAAGTTCTTTTCATAATAAATAGTTAATTATATTTAGAATTATTAAATCTGAATTAAATATTAGAAATAAAGATTTTTCTAGTATAATATAAATACTTTTAATAAATTTATCTAGTTTTTATATATAATTATTATTCATTATAAATTTAATATAGTTTCAAGATTAATAAAACAGATTTATTTTAATGATCTTGAATCATTTTTCTAGTACAAGATTATATAAATTATAAATATGATACTTTTTTTATTATATATTTTAGTAAATTTATCTAACTCTTATAATTGTATCTCTATATCTTATATAAGAATAAGAATATAATCTTTTATAAGTGCTAAAATTAAAAAATAATCACTTATTATTTTTAGATTTTCTACTAATTAAAAATTATTTATAAAAATCTGAAAATTATATATATAATAAAAATATTTTTTTTATCTATATTTATTTATTATAGATTAATCAGAAATTATAATTCTATCTTTCTAGTTATTTATGATAAAATAAGAATATATCATCTGAGATAATTTTGAAATTTTTATTTTGAATAGCTTGAAAAGCTTTTTTTCTATTTTTAATATCAAATATAAAAATATGTAGATATAACTTTTTTTCTGTATTATATTTTTATAATAGAAAGATTTTAATTTATTTTATTTTTATAAATATTTATTATATTACAAAGAATTTTATCTATTTTTATCTTAAAATTATTTATAAATTTATTATCAGATATCAAAATATTAAAAAAAATTCAAATTTCTATAAGAATAACTATTATTTTTTGATCATTAATAAGAGATTTATAAAAATATAAAATATAATAGTTTTTTTTATCTATTTTTTTTAATAAACTCTTAAAATTAACAATTATAAAGAAAATTTCTTCTTATTTAGCTAAAGTATTATTAAAAATTATAGATAAATTCTCATCATTTTCTATAATTATATTATTACAAGTTAATAATCTTGTTAAATAAGTTAATCTTTTTCTGAATTTTTATTTTCTGAAATTTATGATTAAAAAAAAGCTTTAACTCTCTAATAATAAAATATTTTGCTATTTTCTTCTTCTATTTTTAGCTTAAAATTCTTCAAGTTTATAATAGGTATAATAATATTAAATATTTTTTTGTAAATTTATATTATCTGTATAAAAAAAGTTTAAAATAAAAATTAATTTTTTATAATAAATAGTGTAAATTTTAATTATATTATAAGATAAAAAATTATATCAAAAAGATAATGCTTGAAATATATAGTATTTTATTATTATAAATATATTCTCAAAACTAGAGAAGTTTATGAGTAAGATAATTATTATTCTAATAGATATAGCTACTATTAGAAATCTTCTTAATATATATCTTATAAAAAATATGATAAAATTACTTTCTTTACATATGATATATATAAAAAATATGCAGATAAGTACTGAAATATGAAATATTATTACTGAAAAAAGCTAAAGAAAATAATATAAGATAAGAGATTAAAAATTTAATACTTTATATCATTTAAGATAAAAGAAAATTAATATATATATATATGATATATAAAATATTTATATTTTTCAATATTTTAACTAGAATGAATTTTTTTTAGAATATGAGTTAAAATAGAAAAAAATATATTTATTAGTAATTTTAAGCTGAATAAAAAAGTTTTAGAATATCTATTCTAGTTATTCTAATAAACTTTTAATTTTCTTATCTTTTTTTTTTTATCTATAGATATATATAATATATATTATATATATAATATAATTATATTATGAGTAGATAAATTTTATTTTTTTTAGATTATTATTTTTTTATTAGAATAGCTAGAATGAATATATAAAAGAATAAGATAAAGATGAATTTTAAATTTTTTTTCTATATCAAATTCATCCCAATTAATATTTTTTTACTAGGATAAAACTAGAATAAATTTTTTATTAGAATGTAAGCAGATTTATTTTAAACATATTTTAGAATAGTAAATATAAGTAATTATATTTTGATAATATTTTTAATAATATAACTAGATAATATTTTTTGATAATATTTATAATAGTATTTATGTAATATACTTGATAATATTTTTTAATAGTATAATTTAATAATATATATATAATAGTATTATTAATAATATTTATATAATATACTTAATAGATATATTTAATAGTAACAATTGATAGCATAATCAAATATTATATTATAAAATATATATATAATAAGATCAAAATCTATATTATATTCATAAGTTTATTCAGATATTTTTTTTTATCTTTATCATTATAAATTTTGATTATTAGAAATTTATTTTCATAAATAATATATTATTTCATATTATATATCAAAACTTTATTATTAATTTTGAATTATATAATTCTTTCTTATTCAATTATTATTAAAATATAATTCTTCATATTTCTTATTAATTGAAGAAAGAAATCTTTACTCAAATCTATCCATTTTATTTAGTATATCTGATATTATATACTTTGGTTATTTATTTTCTTAATAATATGTAAATTATAATCAGATTATTAAATTTATAATAAAGTTAATTTAGTAATATAATCTATTTTAATTATTTTATTATAATAAAAATTAGTTAGAATTGTTAAGCTGATATATGATATCAAATAATATATAAAATATATTTGATCTATCAAACTTATGATAAGACTAATTTAAGTAATATAATCTAAATTAATTATTTTATTATAATAAAAATTAGTTATAAATACTAACTTAATATATTATCAAATTTAAATTATAATAAAAAATATAAAAAAACTAGGCTAGAGTATTATAATCTAATTTAAATATTTTTTTTTAATAGAAATTAATCAGAAATATTAAACTAATATACAAAAATTTATATGAGTGATTAAAATATTATTGATACTAAATTTAACTTTCTAAAAAATATACAAACTATCTTGAATAACTTGAGTTTTATAATTAACCTATTACTCAAATAACTTGGATTTTATAATTAATCTATCACTTAAATAACTTGAATTTTGAAATTTACTTATCACTTGAATGACTTGAGTTTTGTGATTCACATATTATATCTGAATGATCATAATCTAAACTAAATAAAAATAATATAATTATATTATTTTTATTTATTTAATTTAAAAAAGTTTCTTATAATAATTTTTTATAAAATTTTACTTATTCTTAAGTAAATTAAATAAAATATTATGATAAAATAATTTATAATTCAGCATAACTTAAAAATATTATATATAAAAAGTTAAAAAGTAATTAAAAAGAATAATTAAGTTAGATAAAAGAGTTAATTACAAGAGTTAAGAATAATTAATTGATATTATTTCTAATAAATATACATATTTAATATATATATTATCTTTATTTATCTTTTTTTTTATTTTATTAAGAAAGTATTTTATTAAAAAGTTAGAATTTATTAAAATATATTATCAGAAAAATAGTTAATCATCTTTATTTTATAAGTTAATTATCATAAATATAGTTATTATTATCATTTTAAAATACTTATATATATATAAACTTAAAATAATAATAATAATATATATCTTAAAAAATAAATCATGATATATATTTGAGCAAAAATAATCTAAGATCAATTAGCTAGCATAATTTATCTCAAGATATATCTTAAATTTAAAATCTGATATAAATTATATTATATATAATTTAATAATAAAAATTAATTAGATTATTAATTTGATATATAATAGTTTAAGTATAATATAAAACAGAAAATATGACATCTTTAAATATAATTTAAAAAATGAATTATGTCATATATCTGAGTGAAAATAATTTAGACTAAGTGAAAATAGTATAATTATATTATTTTTACTTAATTTTATTTTTAATTTTTGTTTATTTTACTTTTTAATTTTATTTTTGCAAAAAAAATTTAATGATAGTTAAAAATCTTAGAAATACTTTAATATTTTAATATTTTGCATTTTGACAGAGTATACCAACATCAAAAAATTTTATAAAGATCTTTTTCAGATTAGAATAAGAATTAATATTTGAAAAATTTTTTATCAAGGCGCAGTTTTTCATAATGAATTTTTTTACGTTACACCTGATCCTGATTTTTCATTGGTTAATTTATGTCGGATATTCACGTGAACGGCAAATCGCCGGTATTGTATTACATAAAATCATAGCGACCGTTTAATGATGAAATCAACACATGCATCAGTAGTACAGATCGTCAGGGGTCGGAAAATCCAGCAGCGAGCGGGGTAACTATACTACATATTATCGTTATGACGATATATCAATCTAATATAAATTAAAAGTTGTGATTATACACAAAAGGGAGAAAAAGGAGATTTTGATATGCTTGAGCGCCTACCCCTCATCCCCAGACACAAACATTTGCCAAAATGCTTGCAGCATGAAAAACAAAAGAAACGCATTAACTCCAAAACCGATTAATAGCATTAATCCATAAAAAGCATTATTGTTGTATATTTAATTCTTTTACTCAGAAAATTTTAATAACGTTAAAAAATTTGGCAGTTACCACAAGTATGTCACGACAAGACAGGATTCAGCAAATACAGCAACAGACAGAAGGTGATATTACGTTTCGTTTCATTTGTCGCCATTAAAGAATCTCATTTGTGTTTTTGTCAATTTGACTCACTTTGCTCTTATAAACCCCAGCATTTGTAAATACTCCAGCGCTTCGTCCGATTTCCAGTCCAATGACACCGATAACTCCTCTTGTGCTTGGCGATTCTTCAGAAAAAGATGTATTCGTTATGCACGCTGCTAAGCAATATCACAATAGTGAATTACAAAAGCAACCACCTGAGTACTTTTTCACTTCTCATTATAATGGTAATGATTACATGCAACAACAATCATCATCATCATCTCATTATATTGCTTCTGGAGCCACTAGTTATTCGTCGACACAATCGCCACATTCACCTTCACCTTTCTCTTCTGGTGCATCTACTCCAACACTAGCTCATGTTTGCAGTAATACATCTTCAAGACCAAAATCATGTCCATCTTCGCCAATTCTGAGTGGAATTGCGTATAATGGATCAATGATGATGATGACTGGTGATTATTTTTATCAGTCCACTAACAACAACGGCAACCATAATAATAATAATAATAATAACAATGGACAAATTGATTATCATGAAATGGTTGGCTTTGATACAAGATCGAACTCAAAAATGTTTCAAGATTTAATTGTTTCTAATGTACATCAGCAACAGCAGCAGCAGCAGCAGCAACAACTACAGAATAATCAGTATCAATCGTCTTTTTATGGAGGTATCGGAGGATCATTTGCTTCCGGTCAATATAATAATATGCGAGTGATGCCTTCATTATACGATCAATTTGAAATAGCAAAAAGAAAAGGTCGAGAGAATGCAGAACAAGCTCAATTACAAGACCTGATGAGTCGGATGGATATCAGGGATTCCAATTGAATTTCTTAATTTATAATCTGCGATGGTTGAGACTCTGTTGTTAACATGCTCGTTAGGATCTATTTTCATTGATAACTATTATTATACACGCATGTATTTGTTAATGGATACGACTATGCACACAATTTAATATTTTCTGTACATATAGTTTCTTTAGACAATATTGTTTATTCGATTCCTACTTTCGGTCGTGAAGATCAATATCAACCCCAAAGAATATTTATCGTTTAACTTGTTTATGCTTTGGTAATAGCATTTAGTGATCAAATTATTAAATTTCAATCTACCTTCGAAAAGAAAGGCTCTTTTATACAAGTTATCTATTGATGGTAAATGAAAGAATTACAAACAAGCAAGCAAACAATAAATTATGAGAATAAATCCCTCCCTCTTCTCACTAATAAAAAATAGTAACCAACTAACTATAAACCCCCACATTAAAATAATCCTTTATTAAAAGCTTTTGTTAGTTTATACGGTGATAACTCGTTGCTTGGTGAGGTCTATCGTTGTCTCTCCATCATCGTCTTGGAAATCATCCTAATTCAAAAAAAATCATTAGTTAAAGCAAAGGAGAATAAATAATAATAGTAAAAAAAGAAATAAGTAGAAATTGAATGAAATGACCCACCGGATCATAGATAACACGCACCATCAGTGAACAACTTGGACATCTTGCTATTTCTTCACCATCTATTAACTCCGCCTTCAGGATCATTAAAATTAATTAGTCTCTGTATCATTGTTCTCTAGCAATATTATCATCAAACTCAATATACGTTATCTACTCACCACGGTGATTTGGAATCTATCACCACAAGGACAAGGATAATGATATGTTTGTGTCTCCTCGTCAAATTCAAAATCTTCTGTTGTTTAGAAAAAAACATATCGGATTCGAATTTAATGAGGTTCCAAAAATGTAGAAAGAAAGCGGTTCTTACCAATTTCGAGTTCGTCATAAAAGGAAGTCATAGTTAACCCCCCAAAAAAGAAAGAAACGTGGCAATATGAAGCGACGAGAAGTTGGGGGTTTTTCTAATTCATAAACAATCCCATAAATAAATAAATAAATCCTAACAACCAATCATAAATCTCCCTTGAACAATTGGAATGCACAATCTTGGTTAATTCCCCCAATTTTTTTATATCGATATCTTTAACTCTTTCTCTCAAAATTTCTCCAATAATGCGTAAAGAAAAAGAACGTGGTGGAATTGGCCGAAACAATTCAAAGGGGAAGAATAAAGCTAAAGAACCAGAAACATTTGAAGAGCTAATGGAAGGTCTGTTTTATTTTGCCGCTAATAAATAAAACTTGTGCATTGAAATTTTTACAATTACTTCTCGACATTCCAATAGAGGGTGTTAAGCAGGAAGAGAAAGGTTAGTTTCTCGAATTGTACACTTATCTTTATCATTAGTTACCAAACACATAAGTTTATTTTGATTAGGTGAGCGTTATCAAACGGGAGAGAAAGCAGAACGGTTCTATGAACGAGCGCGAGAACTTTACGCGAAAGCACACGAAAAAAAACCCAACGACGCGGATTGCTTATATAATTGGTTAGCCCATTGATTGATTGATCTCGATGAAATCATCTTCTCATCTCGCGCTTTATTCTTAAAAAATACCGCGCGAAAAGAATTATTCTCGTCTTTGCTAATTTTTTGTGAGGTGCGCCTATAATAATTCAATTCATATATTTCAACTCAATTTAATTCTGAAACGTATAATAGGGGTCGAATTCTCTATATTCTCGTGAACTTCATTCCTTCTTATTCACCACCAGAACCAAAGCTCTCGCTTCTCGCGCAATCCATCGAAAAATTTCGTGCTGCCCTTGCGATTGATCCGGATAACGCTGATGCATTGTTTAATCTTGCTCAGGCGTTAACCAGTCAGGCAGATGTAATTAGAGAGCGAGACACCGAAGGGTTAGATGACGCAATTGCGTCATATCGTGAGGCTGTTCGGTCATTCGAGCGAGTTTATGTAATACAACAAAAAGAATTGATGAATTCACAACAACAGCAGCAAAATGAACCTGGCAATGATAAAGGATTAAACACTGGATTATTGCCATCAGGTGGCGGCGTTCCAAGTGTTGGATCATCAACATCTTTGATCTCTGCGTTGGAGGATTTGGGTCTGAAAGAAAATGGGAAAAAAACTTTAAACGATGCTGAACAAATAATTACAGAAGTTACAGAAGTAACGCCGGTTACCACCGAGACACTGATTGACACACTAATTTCGATTGCTCATACGTTGTCGTGTCTTTCGGCTATTGTTGAATCACCCGAGTATGCCGAAAAATGTTATATACAGGCAATTCAAAAACTTGAGCTCGCATTGGCGTTTAATGTCCCCTCAAAAGAATCGGAGATTCAGCATCAATGGGCAAATGTGTATTCAACACAAGCTGAACGTGCATTTGCCGAAACAGGTAGCGTGGAGCAAGTAGAAAGGCTCTACGAAATTGCTGCTCAGAAGATGAACAGCGTTATTGAACAAGATGCCGCGAATGTTGAAGCTATTTGTGATCGAGGAGATTTGCTGACCGAATATGCTAACACACTAATGAAATCTGTTGTGCTGAGTAAACTCGATCACGAACCGGAGCGACAAGAAAAAATTCGTGAATTATTTGATCTTGCGATCAAATCATTTACACTTGCATTAGAAATTGAACCGAAAAATTCTGCAATTCTTGAGAAACTCGCGTCACTTAATTTCACAATGTCCTTGTTACCGTTGGCCGCAATGGAGAAAAGTAAACCCGAATTACATAATAACGCGTTAAAATATTATAAGAGGGCTTTAGAAGCTGACCGAGATAATCTCGACACTTATTTGTGTTACGCGTTGGTCATGTGTCACGTACCTGGAAAAGATGGTGATGAAGTGGTCCAAACTTTAGCCGAGTTTATAGAACGAGGCGGAACCAGAGAGTTCGTGGAGGAATGGCAAATGGAGAATCGTGAATTGTTGAGGAGTAGCACAATTGGGAAAGAATATGCAAGTCGGGTGATTGAAACCTGCTTCTCTTCAAATGCGAAAAAACGTCATGGCTGATATTCCCCGTGTTTGTAATGATGTGCAATGATAGCGGATCAGAAATCTTATAGAAATCAATTGATTACATGGAGTTTGTGATCAAATTTTAACTTTTGTTGCCAAAAATTTATCTTAAGATGAATGTGGTTTTTTAGCTTTATCTTTTAATGAACTTTATAATTTGAACAATCATTCATCCCGTATCAATAAATTTGAGCATCTCCTTTTTTTCTGAATAAATACTATCAAGATTACATTAATTCAAAAGTACATTAACTTTATGCGTATTGGAGAAATATTTTACTTTTTGCATTTCTCTGAAATGAAAAAGACAAATATTTGTTTTATTAAAATCCTACTATACAATATGATTTATTATGTTACACATTAACAATTATCGGCGCCTGTGATATTATAGAAATTTTTGTTAATTTCTGATTGTTCATCCCATCCTTATGATTATTTAATTCTTTTAATTGCATTTGTTGTATCTGCTCCTCCTCTTCATCATTAACACCTGCGTCACTCACACCCGCATCACTCGTATTCACTCCATTCGATTCGACACAACTTCCACTTACAGATGTCTGAACTCCACTTTCATTATCCTCGTATCTCTGTTTCCGTGATTTCGCATGTGATCTTTTCGATTTTTTACACTTGTTACTTGAAGAATTTTTCGCTCTCCGTCGTTCTTCAGATAATTTCTTCAAAATTTTGTTAGCACTCTTATACCACAGACCTTCCACGTATTTTATACCAACTAGTTTATTACGAAAGGGGAGGCCGAGGCAATGTAGATGTAGATGGTTGATTTTTAGAAATGGTGGTACATGGAAACCCAACCTTGAGGGAAAAGGCAAATTATATAAAGATATGATTGGACTGAACAAAATACAATTCACATATTCTAAATATTTACCGAGTATTTTCTTGACTGTAATTAGCTTGCTTTAATATACGCCGTCCAGTTTTTATCATGTGTTGTACTATTATATAGTAAAACGGGGTTAATAAACGAAATGAATATGAATAAAACATTAAGATTACATACATAAAGGTTTATCTGCAAATGTTAACGATTTTACATTGGCTGATTTTAAAAATACGAATTGAACGATCAAACGTTAGTTTGCCGAATTAAAAAAAACCAAAACAAAACAAACCGAAAACAAATAAGACAAAATATTTACGTATATGTTGTCGAGAGATCACCAACAAATGCATTCTCGAGGCAGGTTTCAGATCATGAAGAACGATGATAGTATCATCCTGAAATACTATGCGATCCTTTAAATCGCTATTTTCTACGTTATCCACTTCACAGAATGGACAAGGCATTTGTTTCGTGTCTTGCAATACAATTTTTTTAGTCTTGAACTTGGTCGGCGGCCTTATTGCTTAGTTCAAAAAGGTTGTATCGAAGTAAAATAGGTTACTTGTTTTTTTATACTATGACAATGATTATTGCTATTAATTAATTAATCTATTGCATCTATTGCAAAAAAAGTAGTATATTTGGAAATAATTTGATTGTTCTATGCCAGCTTTTTTATGCGCGATGCTTCTTTTTATAGATTAGTTGAAAATGAGATGTCAATTTTTGTTAAAGAAATCCAAGAAATCCAAGAAAAAATAAAGTTTATTGACATGTTTCGGGATATTTATATGTCAATTCGTTATTTTTGATCTCATCTCGGGATATCGGCAAAAACATTGTTCATTCCTAAAATTAAATACATTTATAGGGAATTTCCAATTCAAATACAAGAAAACGAATGAGAAATTGCAATTTAAATTTAATTCTCTTGTACACGACATGCAAGATGCATGATATAAATTCAGCCATCAGTCTCAACAGAACAAGGAAAACCAGTTTATTACGTTATTCCGGCCCGAGATCGTCCCTTTTCTGCGTCATTGTTATTCTCGTTTTGATAGGTAAACATCATTTACGTTCACACTTCAGATAGAAAAAAAGTCATTATATTGCTGCCTTTTTTGGTAACCACTTGTAGAACAGAAAATCCGCTCTTTATCCCAATGAAAACGTGGCGTATCATGTTGGTTATAACCATATCGAATTCTGAATGAGAAACCGTGTTTAATTATTACTGTTATTTACCGCTACCGTTATTTAGAGAAATGTATATTGATTTTACATCCCCAAAAACTTTAAAATTTTCCACTTGTAGAGAAAAAAATATATAGAACACCCAAACAAGTAAAATAACATTGATACGTTAGTGCTTCTAATAATACGTAACTAAATAAAGATAAGAAAGAAGTCGCGTGTCCTAAACAACTTCTGTGTCAAAAGTTTTTAGGATCAAGTAAATGAATTTTAAGTAGTTGTAATAATGTTTTTATGATGACAAAACCTAACACAATATATTTAAAATGCTCGAATTGTCATAATTTCAAAAAACAAATAAATGTTTAATGTTGATACCCATATTACGTAAATATTACATGTAAATGCTTAATGTTAAATACACTTATTTATAAGTTCTAGAATTTTTTGTGTTCTTTTTTTCATACCGAATAAATCGTAAGACTGCACGATCTTTGACTAAATTCTATAATAATTATAATTTTGGCTAGCATTAAGAAATTAAGGCACGATTCAGGCCAAACATGATAAATCATGTCATAACTTTGGACAAAATTGCTAGTAATTTAACAAACACACCCTTGATAGCAATAACAAAAAAACGAAAGAGGTAACAGTCGGGATCCTGGAACCTAATAACTGCATCTAAGAAGAGAAGGTAATGCTAGATCGCATATTTTTATGAAACAAACAATCAAAGTAACTTACCTATTACTTCAGCAGCAGAAACGAAGTTTTTTATAATAATTACTCAAATATTATCTTTAAATACTTTGAAATTAAAATAACTTATAATTATATAATAAAGAATTATTAGTTTCAGATGTATAAAGATATAGATACATATATTAAAATTTATAATATATGTTAATGAAAAGAATAACTACACAAAAATAATAAAATAATATTAATTCAAGTAAATATATCTTTTGAAAAGATTAAAATCAATTTAATAAAATCTCTCTTAATAATTAGCAATAGAAATCATTATATTATAATTACTATTAATTATCTAATTAAATAAGCTGAAACAAAGATCTATTATAAATATTTTTGTAACTTTAATTATTTCATTTCTTTATAAAGATATAATAATAAGATATGAATTTTCAAAAGAAATATTAAGTAATAGAGAAATCATATTTATTAATAAAATAATTAAAGAATTATTAGAAAAATATCAGATCAAATACAAACTATTTACTTTCTATCATTCTCAAATAAATAGACTTATAGAAAGACTAAATTAAATTTTATATACTTTATTATCAAAGTATATCTAACTCTATAAAAAAGATTAGAATTATTATCTTTTATTAATTTTATTCACTTACAGAATAATAAAATAAAGTATAATCTTATTTAAGTTCAACTGATATATAATTAACAAGTAATTATATTATTAAATATTGAGTTAAAAAAACTTTAATAATCTTATTTTTAAAGAAATTCTTATCAAAAAAATATGTAAGATAATTGATAAACTTGAGATTACACAAGAATTAGCTCTTGGTAATATTCAAAAAGAATAGAATAAACAAAAAAATATTATAACAAGAAATAAAAATTAATAATTTTTTAAATAGAATAGAAAGTATTGATGAAATAAATAAAACATAACATTAATATTATGATAAGTTTAATAAAAAATAGAAAGAATTATTCTATATTCATAAAGTTTATAATAAAAAAATTTATAAACTTTGAACTTTAAATAAAAAAATACTGAAAAATCTTTATATTTGAAATTATATATTAAGTTTAATAGTTTAAAATCAGTTATTATAATTGAGAATAATTAAAAATTTATAAAGTAAATCTTTTAAAGTCAAGAGTTTTATAACTAATTAGTTATTTATAAGATTTAGTAATATGATATAATTACAATATATGATGTAATTAATAATTATTTCTAAATTAAGAATATAAAGAGTTAATAATAATTAATTTATTTTTTTATAATTCTATTTTAATTTATTTTATTATTTATATTTAGTTCTATTTATTTATTAAGTTTAAATATAATTTAGTTATGTTTGTTATATTAAATATATAATTTATTAGATTATTATTTTTTTAATTAATTATTATTAATTTTTTTTCTTTAATTATAATATTTTACTAATTTTAATTTTTAATTATCTTGCATTTTAATTTAAAAAAGTTCTTTATAATAATTCTTTCAAAATTCTATTTATTCTTGAATAAATTAGATAAAATATTATATAAAATTAATCTATAATTTAATATAACTTAAAAATATTATATATAAAGTTAAGAAGTGATTAAAAAAAATAATTAAATTTTTGAAAAAAGTAATTAATTACTAAGTTAAGAGTAGTTAATTAATATTATTCTTGTAATAAAATTCATATTTTATATATATTATCTTTATTTATTTCTTCTTATTCTATTAAGAGAATATTTTATTAAAAGTTAATACTTATATAAATTATCTTATTAAGAAAATAATTAGTTATCTTAAATCTTTCAAAATTAAATATTAATAATTATTATGAATACAATTATTATTATTATTTTAAAATACTTATATATATACAATAATCATCAAAAGTAATATAACACTTAAATTTTTTACTAATTATAATGTAAGATTATTTTGTTAATGGTTGTAAACAAGATAAAATGTGATATGAATAAGTTTTAATTTTATAACTTATGAT